TCTAAGATTTGTGAGTTTTACTATTACATGCCAGGGTGTTGGCCTGTTTTCCTTGATCTTGGGAGGGGTCCTCTCTGCCTCTAGGACACGAATGTTTGTTTCATTTCCTAGATTAGGGAAGTTCTCAGATACGATTTGCTTAAATATATCTTCTAGTCCTCCTTCTCCACCCTCTCAGGGATCCCAATAATTTTACATTGGAACGTTTCATGGTGTCACTTATTTCTCTGATTCTATTTTCATGGATTTTGAGTTGTTTTTCTCTGGCCTCCTCTTTTCCATTCTTGTCTATTAATTGGTCTTCTAGATCACTCATTCGTTCTTCTGCTTCAGTTACCCTAACTGTTAGATTATCTAGATTAGATTGGATCTCATTGATGGCATTTTTAAGTTCTGCCAATTCAGCTTTCATTTCTGCCCTTAGAGACTCTATGTTGCCATTAATTGATTTCTCCATTCCAGCTATTGTCTTCACAATTGCTAGCCTGAATTCCATCTCCGACATCTTGGTTATATCTGCATCCATTTGTAAATCTGCAGCATAAGTCATAATCTCTGAGTCTTTCCTATTTTGGGGGTTCCTCCTAGTCATTCTGTTGAGGGGTGGTTGAGGGAATATAGAGAGTCCAAATTATTGGTCACAACCCAAGCAAGATGCAGCTGTTTTCCAGGGACCTTCGGGTTGCTGGCCTCTTGTTTTCCCAGCCTGTCTTCTGGAGAGGGGCCTGCCGCGCTGTTACTCAGGCAACCCTTGTTGGGCAGAGTTGCCCTGCCCCCTGTGGCGGGGGATGGGCTCAGTGAAAAACGGTTTTGGGGGGCTTTTGTTCTGTGGTGGCTTTCCTTGGCGGCTTTCCGCGTCTCTTCAGAGAGAGCAGAAGAGACCGTTTCCAACCATCTGCCTCAGAGCAGAGAGGTCGCAGTCTGTTTTTTAGTGAGCTCTCCAGGCCACACTATCCCCATTTCTGTCTATGCTGCTATAAACTGCACCGTCCTGGGTTGTGCACCCCTCAGCAGCACTCCCAGTCCTCGCCTCCAGGTTGGGGCATGTCTCTTGCCCTTTGTGCTTCTAAAACCGCCAGCCGCCCTCAGTTCCCATTATCCTCCGATATCTACCCATAGAATCACGGCTCCCCTCTTCATACCTTGAAACCAACCCCCTGTGATATTCTGTGTGTAGAGATCCAGATCTATCTTCTTACATCTCAGGCCGATTTCATGGGTGCTCAGAGTGGTCTGGTAGATATTCAGCTCAATTCCGGGGACTGGTTGGAATAGGGTCCCCTACTCCTCCGCCATCTTTCTCTTTCATCAGTATTTTATAGGTTTCAGAGTATAGGTCTTTTCACCTCTTTGGCTAGGTTTATTTCTAGGTATCTTATGGCATCAATAAACCTTAAAAAAAAAAACTGTTACTACTCTTTTTAAAAATATATCAGTGTGGGACACCTTGCTGGCTTACTTGGTTAAGCGTCTGCCTTCGGCTCGGGTCATGATCCCAGTATCCTGGGATCAAGTCCCGCATTGGGCTCCTTGCTCAGCAGGGAACCTGCTTCTCCCTCTCCTGCTGCTCCCCCTGCTTGTGCTCTCTCTCTCCCTGAGAAATAAATAGATAAAATCTTAAATAGACACACACATACAGACACACACACACACACATATGTGTGTATATATGTATATATATCAGTGATTACTAAGTACTGTTTGGATGATTTTATTTTTGATAAATTTTTATAAATAAATTTCAACATTTCTTAAAGTTCTTGAAAGTGTGGTTTAACTGTATTTTATTATAAAAGGAATATAAAATGACTCTTTAATCTCAATAGTAATTTGAATGGATTTTCCCCATTAAAAATAAAGGGTTCACATTTTACAAATGACTATGATTATAAAATTAAGAATTTAAATGATTTTTATAGCAAATTCAGGCATTAATTGTTCTTTCAAAATCCAATAGAGGATTCTCATTTAGAGAGTAATGTAGATCTCTGTCTCTTAGTTCCAGAGTATGAGCTGTCAGGATAACCATATGTTTCCATATTGGACAAGAAGGTATACTTTTCTCTTTGCCTTTTAGTTTAATTTGCATAGTCAAAATGTAGGTTGTCTGGTGATCTCCTGAGGTCAGATTAAAAATACCAAGTTTGGATTTAAACCAACATTAGGTATGTTTTCATAGTTTTTACTCAGGTGAGAAAAAGATCATTCAAAAATGCTTAATGGGAATCTGCATTACTACTTATTCCTAGATTATAACTTCCTAAAGGATCTGTTACTACTGGTTTCTTTTCCCTTTACAAAAAGATTTTATCATGTCATTCCCCTTAATAACTCGTGCATTATCCAGAGGAGCATTTCCCAGTTGGTAGCCTGCAGATCCCTAGAAATTTATGAAAGTTCATGGCGGTTGCTGAGGGAAACAAAGGAATGTCAGTAAGAGACATGCTTTTTGGAATTTTTGAAAGGTAGAACGCAGATGGGAGGAGAAACAAGCCGGCCAGAAACAAGCCTGCTCTTCCCTCTACGACTTAATTTGTCTTGGAGGGTCCAGCCAGTGTAATAAGGAAAAGAAACGATTAAGGTGATGACCCCTATTTTTCCACAGTAAATACATTACCAGTTTTCCTCTCAATTAGTTTCTTTTGAAGAGATACTCACAGCTATGTAAATATCCTTTTATTCACCGCACTTACTCTCTAGCCCTAATCTTCATTGATGATTCTTGCCTGAATCACATATTACTATGATAGTTTCCAGATAGTAATTTTCTAATTTTATCATCCCTTGGAGCTGGCTCCTATGTTCCTGTCATTCCTTGGGAAGTCTCACCTTCTGATTCATTAAGTCGTTCCAAGCTCATCTGGACTGTTTGTGCCCCAGTGTTTGATTCAGTCGTTTTGCCAGAAAGGTCTGAATCTTTTTAGTAAGGAATGGTTTTTAAGAAACCAAGACCTGAGGGCTACATGTGCTCAGTAGCTCCTGAACCTCTCATGGCTTAAGCCAGGGAATATGTATCTTTATCTCTATATATGTATTAAATGCTGTGTTTAGAATCTTCATTTTTATCTCACTGTTAAGAAACAAAACACAATTGTTAAATTAGACCAGTTGATTTTTATACACTAAATGTAAGAATTCCAAAAATCAAGTCATGAGTGTATAATCTTAAGATTATATTTCAGTCTCCATTTAAGACTGTTTGATAATTCATTTGTCTGCAAATCATGCTTTCTGTTATATGATTTAAAGTAAATTGAATAACATATATTAATAAATGAGGAAAATGTTGAAAAATTATAATAGCTAATAATAGTGATGTAAGATATTTTTATTTATTTTCTTATTTATCCCATTATGCAGAGATGACAGAATTTTTCCAATACCCTTAAAAAGGGAGTAGGAAGAATTATTAATTACTGTACAAAGTTAGTGAATTAAAAATGTTGAATACCTTTACTTAGAGAATAAGGTCCCGATTCCTTCTCTCGATATGCAAAACCCTCATGGGCTGACTCACCACCTCCCCCGACCCTGCCTTCCTACTCTCATCTCATACTTCCCTCCCTCTAGGCATATTGGTTCGCCTTATGGTTCCTTGTGTACTAGCATGAGTGGCATGCCCTTCCCCCTCACTAATCTGCCTGGAAAACATCTGATATATCTGTCAGGTTCCAGGTCACATATCACCTGTTCTGTAGAATCTTACAGACAGAATTGATTCTTCCTTTGTTCTCATAGAAGCTCAAATATACTATTCTTTAAAAAAATAAAAATAAAAAGATTTTAGGGCGCCTGAGTGGCTCACTTGGTCAAGCATCTGCCTTCGGCTCAGGTCATAATCCCAGAGTCCTGGGATCAAGTCCTGCATCCGGGCTCCTTGCTTGGCCTGCTGCTCCCCCTGCTTATTCTCTCTCTGTCAAATAAATAAATCTTTTTAGGGAGCTCGAGGCGGGACTCGATCCTAGGACCCTGGGATCATGACCTGAGCTGAAGGCAGACGCTTAACTGACTGAGCCACCCAGGCGCCCCTCATAATCCTAATTTCTTATCTCTGTATTCCTTAGATGTGTCTCCTTTTGTGCAGCCATTTTATCCTCCTTACATCCCAACACAACACAGTATCAGGTATTTCAGATAAATACTTGATAGATGCATAAAGATTTTGTTGGTTTCAAGATTATCAACTTGATAATTTTTAAAATGTCTATTCTGCCAGCACTTGTTAAGTCGTATTCTAGTTATGGTGACTTCCTTTGCATATATATAAAAAAATTTAATATGCTAAACCTTTTGCTAGATTTCTAGAGATGAGATAAAGGTTTAAAAATTCAAGATACTTCAAGACCTATCCCTTATGTGTATTACAATTTTCAGTGGGCTGTGCTAGATCTTCACTCACACACATCCTTCACGTACCCGTGGAGTGTAGAACTGCCACTTTACCAGAACAAATGCATAAATAATGTATGGTACAACGAATAAGGTGAAAAAGTCAAACTCAGAAGACACATCTAATGGTGCTGGTGACATTTAAAGGGCAGTGAATATGTCCTAATGAAGGCACTTGCCAAGATTACTTCGTGGGTTCTAGCTGGGTAGATTCCAACTTCTTCCTTTAGTTTAATCTTGGTAGTTAGTGCCCTGAGCTCTCGGTGCTTACTCCCCCATATCTCTATCCAAGTCCTCCAGTGGCCAAATCTCACCAGCCCAGTCTTTTTTACCACAGAGTCTCCCAAAACATCCGCCCTTTCGGGTCGGTCTGTTTACTCCCCTGATGCTCACTGCCACCCTACTGCATGCCCAGCTGAAGTCAACTCTGCTACGTCACTCTCTACTCAACTCTCCCCACCTGTGTTTTGCTTATAATTTGGTAAAGGTTTGGTTGGAAACTCAGTTTAACACGGGGTCTGCTTTACTGCGGTGTCTATGTCTTTTAGTACTAGAAATGTCTGCATTAGAGTCAGTATTAAAAGTGTGTATCTCTGCTTTTTTCTTTCTAGATCCTGGCTAGATAACAATGGGAAAAGTGCAATTAAAAAACTGAGGAACAGTTTACCACTTAGAAGAGAACTAGATCGTTTAAAAGATGATCTGTCTCAGCAGCTGCAGCTCTCAGACATCAGGTAACAAAGACCTTAATTTAGAGACTAAAATAAGCATGTATTATCTACTGGTCAAGCTTCCCAGCAGTTAAATATTTGCATCTTTAATTATTCTGATAACTATAAGTAGCCTTCAATTATCTTTTTCTGAAAGTAGTCAAATATTCATCTTTATAAGAAAACTTTTATCAATTTCTTGTTTAAAATTATGAAGTAAGGTTTAGATACTGACATTTTTAGCATAAGAGTTTAATTTTTTAAAGTAATGTTTATTAAAGAAAATCCTTTAACATATGCACATAATATATAAAAAGTAATTATCCCTCCATCCTGTGAGATCAGTATTTAAATTTAAAATGAGGAAGGGAGACAAAAAATGGGTGTTGTATTCTTGGTTCTGTGTTTTATAGCATGACTTTTTAAAGTTTTCATTAACCTGGAAATCACAGTTCCGTAAAGATAACGGGCATTTATTATAAAAACGCATTTAACAGCTGTTAAAACACTAAGGAAGGGATAAGGGGGCCCTGGTGTGATTCCGGGGGTGGGGGGGAACCCCCCGTTACAAGAACTGAGAAACTGTTGCTCAGTCTTGTGCTTGAACATTTCTATTACAGTTCGTTGTAACCTGTTTTGTTGTTTCCAACCTTTATTATCAGGATTTTTTTTTTCTTCTTTTGAACTAAATGACTATTTGGGTATCATAATAGCACCTTTTTCCTGTGCCTGTGGAGTACTGATAATACTTAAATGTTTTGTTCTTGTATATTCAAATCATAGTGGGGTTTTTTTGTTTTTTTTTGTTTTCAGATCATAGTTTTATAAGATAAGATTTCAAGGAAAGCGTGTAGACTTGGTGTGTGTGGGATGTTTGGATTTGTGCTGATGGCTGCTCTTTTGTCATCACATCAGTTATTTTTAGGCCCTGCTTTGATTAGAAGGGTTCTTTTAATTCACAGTGTAGTAGTATGGACTTCTCTAGCTAACACCCAAATAACAAGATCCTTTTTAAGTTTGTAAAATAAATTTATGTACATAAAAGTACTTTTTTCTAGTATAAATTCTAAATGAACTATCAAAGAGATTAGAATTAGGAAAACAAAAGGATTTTTTTTAAGGATTTCTTAATCATAAAAAGAAACAAGCATTATATTACAGTATGGTGTAGAAACTTCTCCGCTTTGATTTTTGCCATGGTAAATATCAATAAATATTAAAACACATAAACAAAAGGTCTTTGGGTTCTCCATTTTTAAGAGTGCAAAAGCTTTCTGAGACCAAAGCATTTGAGGATCATGGGTATGATGGCTTTCCACTATCAGAAAATCAGCCAAGCCTACAAAAGAGAAACACTGTGACCAATGACATTGTTTCTAACTCTGAGCCACCTGTGTGAAAGACCATTTATTAGTAAGAACTGTATTTAGCAGGTTTATCACAGTGTTAATTCTTTGAAATTATATCTGTTTCACCTGTGGGTTAAAGAAAAAGTTTTGAAAATCCATTTTATCAGAAATGACATTCATCAGAATTGGTAATAGGATGAAGAAGGAACCTAAGTTTTTTGAGAGCTTGTTTTGAGTGCCTTACTCCTTCACATATGTTATCCCCTTTGATTTATGCTACCTGTCCTGGAGGAAGTGATCCCACTTTGTATGTATGAAATGGAAACATTAGGAAGGCTAGAAGCAACTTGTTCAAGGTCACAGAGCCAGTAAGTAACAGAATTAGAATTCAAAGGGGGATGTTCTGATGCTTCTAAAGATCAGTGCTCATACCAGTGCCTCTGTGACACCACACAGATATCAGGTTCCATTGTGTCACTAAGATTGAGTGTTCATTTATAAAATATGTAGATTACATGTCATAAAGTCACTTTCTCTAGAATAAGATAAAAAGAATCTGATCTAGTCTGGAGTTCCTAATTAGAACTTAAATCTAAAACAAAATCATCATCATTGAATGATGTGGAGATGAAAAAGGTTTTTTTTAAGTGTTCCGCATTTCATTTCCTTATTTTAAAATAGAAACAGCATAGTGTATTTGCTTGTTTGAAATGTTTGGATATCTGAACATAGTAGTAATATTTTTACCCTCTGGCAAACCATTCATTTTCCATTTGGTTGCTTCATAAAAAAATGAGCTAGTTGGAAAACATATGCCTACTTGAGAAAGAAACTCACTGGCTTTCCCAGGCATCAAGTAGCAAGGGGTGAATGCAGGCGTCCTCCCTCGGGGGCGCCTGGTGTTAACGCGCCTGTGTGCTCTGTTGTACTAGGTGGCAGAGGAGCTGGGGCATCGCCCATCGCTGTAGCCAGCTTCATAGTTTAGGCCGCTTAGCACAGCACAACTTGGAAACACTTAAAAATGCAAAAGGTAAACAATTTCCATTTTCTTTTAAAATATCACTCAGCTGCTATACACATCTGTAAATTGTGGAGGAAAACTAAGTGTTAAAAGACCGTACAGATGTGACTTTATCACAGCTGAACTTTTAAATCTGTTCCTTTGAGTAAAACAGAGACAAAAAATTAGCCTTTAAGGGGCACCTGGGTGCCTCAGTCCGTTAAGCTTCTGACTTGATTTCAGCTCAGGTCATGATCTCATGGTCCTGAGATGGAGCCAGGTGGCAGGCTCAGCACAGAATCTGCTTGAGATTCTCTTCCACCCCCTCTGCGCACACTCCCTGACGTGGACACGCTTGTGCGTTCTCTTTCTCTCCCCATCTCTAAAATAAATCTTTAAAAAAAAATTTTTTTTTTTTAAATTAGCCTTGGGCACCTGGGTGGCTCAGTTGGTTGAGTGACTACCTTCGGCTCAGGTCATGATCCTGGGGTCCTGGGATCAAGCCCTGCATTGGGCTCCCTGCTCTGCGGGAACCTGCTTCCCCCTCTTCCTCTGCCTGCCACTCCCCCTGCTTGTGCTCACTCTCTGTCAAATAAATAAATAAAATCTTTAAAAAATAAAATAAAATAAAAAATTAGCCTTTAAGCTTCTACTGAATTTGTTTACTAAATTTAAGTAATTATTTGCACAATACTAAAAAAATGAAGCATCTATGGACAGTGACCAAAGGGTTTGTGTTTTATCACCAGGATGTACAATAATATTTACAGACCGATCCGGAATGAGTGCAGTGGGCCATGTGATGCTAGGAACAATGGATGTCCATCATCACTGGACAAAAGTAAGGAAAAGTTTCAAAGCAAAAAATCCTGACTTACTTTTGTTTCAAACTATGCTGTTATGTCAGTGAACTAAAAAAACTCAGATCATAGTTTCAGCTATTTTCAGAATAGATGTTTATCATGTAGTTAAAATACTCAAGAGGCCTGATTTTTAAGTCAGTTTTTATTTGGAAATTTTATAGTCTTTTCTGAAGCATAGCCTAAAAGGCCTGCATTCTGTTGTTTTGGTTTTAACAGATTTACTGTGTTATAATTGACATACAATAAACGTATTTAGTGTGTATAATTCGATGAGATTTAACATGTGTAAAAACCCATGAAGCCATTAACACAATCAAGATAGTGAACATATCCATCACCCACAAAAGTATGCTCATGTCCCTTTGTAAACTCTCTCCTCCATCCCGCCACCCTCTCCCCAAGCAACCAGTGGTCTGCTGTCACTATAAATCAGTTTATAACTGGAATTTCATATAAGTGGAATCACAAAGTATATACTTCTTTTTGGGGGGCGGTTCTGTTTTCTTTCATTCGACATAATTATTTTCAGATTCATCCATACTGTTGCATGTGTCAAGAATTTCTTTTTATTTCCATGTAGTGTTCCATCATATAAATATACCAGTTTGTTTATCCATTTACCTATTGATGGACATTGAGTTATGTCAGTTTTGGCGATGGGAAATAAAGCTGTTAGAAACATTGTGTCCATATGCACATATATTCCCTTTTCTTCTAAAAGTGGAATAGTCGGATCATATGTTAGGGTATTTTTACCTTTTGAGAAACTGCTAATGCTTGCGCTGGTGGTCTTTTTAATTTTAGCCATCCTAATTTTAATTTTAACACATCCTAACACACCTAATGTGTGGTGCTATCTCATGTGGACTTAATTTGCATTTCCATAATGACAGATGATGGAGAGTATCTTTTCATGGGCTTATACTTTCTTCTGTGAAATGTCTGTTCCAATCAAATATTTGGTTGAAGATATTTGCAAACCATATCTGACAAAAGTCTGTGTACCTAGTGTATAAAGAACTCTTAAAACTCAGTAGTCAAAAAACCAAACAATCCAAAATGAACAGCTATGTCACGGAAGACCTACAGATGACAAATATTTTTGAATGGCTAAAATGAAAAATAATGACACCACCAAATTCTGGCAAGGGTGTGGAAACACCAGATCACTCATCCGTCACTGGGGGGAGTATGTAGAATGGTACAGGGGCTCTGGAACAGAGCGTGACAGCACAGAACTAAACGTGTTTACCATGTGACCCAGAAATTGCACCCTTGGGCATTTAAACTAAAGAAGTGAAAAATTATGTTCACACAAAAACCTGTACACGAATGTGCATAATAGCCAACAACTAGAACAACTCTAATGTCCTTCACGGTGTGAATGGTTAAACTGTGGCACATCCATACAACAGAACATTACCCAACAGGAAGAGGGGATGAAGTATTCATACCAGCAACAACCTGGGTGGATCTTAAGGGCATTGTGCTGAGTGAAAAAAGTCAGTATCAAAAGATTACATACTGTTTGATTCCACTTATGTAACATTCTTAAAATAACAAAATTGTGGAAAGAACAGATTAGTGGTCGCCAGGGGTTGGGGAGTAGGGAGCTCTCCCCCACGGTCCGTGGGGCATCACTGGGCGTGCAGGATCCCTACGGTGGAACTGTTCTATGTCATGTGGTCATGGCGTGTGAATCTACACATGGGACAAACCTGCATACAGTTAAATACACACACATACACACAACTAAGTGTAAGTAGAACTGATGAAGTCTGAATCAGTTCTGTCAGATCAATGTCAGTTTCCCGGTGGTGATGTTATACTGTAGTTTTGCAAGACATTACCACTGGGGAAAGGGGGGAAGATGTTCAAATCTAGAGTTATCTGAAAATAAGGTTTTTTAAAGGTAATTACCATTTATATATAGATAAATCATCAAGAGAAAAATGGAGAAAGTGGGTAGGGAAATGATTTTCAGACTGTTAGAAGTCCATTATAGATAACTTGTAGAATTCGTACGCTGCAGTTACTTTTATTAGAGCATAGGTTTTTGATGCCTTCCCATTCCACTGTTAAGTTGCCCGTCCCCAGCTCTCCAGGTAAAGTCTGAGTCCTCAGCACAGCACACCAGGGCCTTCCCATTGGAGTGTGCTTGGAGTGTGCTGCCCCTCTTCATGCTTCCGTCTCTCTTCCCCTGACATACCTCCATGTGCATCTAACGCCTGCGAAATCCTGTCTGTATTTTCAGACAGGCACATTAGACTTCCTTAGAAACCTTTCACTTGAACGTCTTCTCTGTATCCACTCACGTGGACATGGCACGTAGTACAAAGAATCCTGATTCTTGTTTTGTTTACTTGTACCCCGACTGAAAAGCAGGGCCCAGCTCTTCAAATCTGTACACACAGGTGCCCAATTTGTGCCTAAGTACATGGTAGGTGCTCAGTGATGTTTATTGCATGGAATTGAGTTTTGCTGAATTAAAGTAAATTCTGAAGAAGTAGACTTGGTGCTAAAATCCATGTACTTTATTTCTCAAACCATTCTTTATTAGACCGTGTAATCATTCTTAAACTAATTTTAGATTTAAATGTTAGTACTTAGGACTTATTTTCATTTGGAACCTATTTCTTTTTTTCTGCAATCTCTTTAGTCTTATCTAAAAATCCCTAAGATTTGTAGTGTTTTGTTTTGAATATTAATATTTCCAGCATTACATTGTCTTTTTCTTTGACTTCTTAGACCTTTCTGTCTAGGAAAACAATTTTCTTGTTAAAATTTCTCAATCCCATTTATTGGAATCCTAAAATTGAGCTATTACAATAACATAAAACTAAATATTTGTTTCATTTTTTTTTTAAATACTGTAGCTTTTTGAAAGGTTACCAAGTTATTTTGACCTTCAGAGGAGGCTGATGCTTTTAGAAGACCAAATAAGCTACCTCCTCGGAGGTATACAAGTGGTTTATATTGAGGAATTGCAACCAGTATTGACGCTTGAAGAATATTACTCTCTTCTTGATGTGTTCTATAATAGACTGGTGAAAAACAGAATACCCTTTCACCCTCGCAGTCTGCGTGGTTTACAGATGATCCTTAACAGGTAAATATCTAAAACAAGAACGACTTTTATTCTTTCACTTAGATGCATTGTGTAAGTGGATTAAATTGTTTTGTGTTTTTTCTTAGGAACTAAAGAAAAGTGACACTCATTTACACATTAAAAAAGCCAACTTAAAGGAATTGAAGGATTGACTCTAGAATAGTCTTGAAGTACATTGCCACTTACAGGGCAAAGTCAATCCTACGGAAAACTTTCTAGAATTAAACTAATGTTGAATCAATAGCCCACATTTTTTGTGCACATACTGTTTTCACAGTCTGTGCTTGGTGCTAAATGCACACCTCACCTCACACCTCACCGGGCTCATCTTACAGATGAGGGTGGCCACGAGGTAAGGAAGTATGTGGTCATCCTGAACGTGTGTCTGTTTGGGTAACAGCAAAACTTAAAGCATAATTTTACTATACTTTCAAAGTGGATTTTCTTGATGAATTCCTTCATCACTCATCAGACTACTAAAATATTTTCTTTGGGGGTGGAGTGGGGAATGGAGGGATGAGTGATTTTTCCTTTCACATGTGTTTTGTTACAGTGACAGATATGCTCCAAGCTTGCATGAACTCGGGCACTTTAACATCCCAAGCCTCTGTGACCCAGCAAACCTCCAGTGGTTTATCCTTACCAAAGCCCAGCAGGCAAGAGACAACATGAAAAGAAAAGAAGAGTAAGTGCCATGAGCCCTTTGTAATGTCCTGTCAGTCAGTCTGTCAAAATTCAGGTTTTCGGAATTCATAAAGATGGGACATAAAAACTGCATGAAACTTAGGAAGTGGACTGATTTGTGCATAATCCACATTTATTTATCCCCCACCTCCTTGATCTGCCAGGAATTGCATGTGGTGTTTCTGATTGTAACAGCCTCATTGACATTACCACCATGTGCCTCCGTTTGAGAAGCAAGGCTTGTTAGTATAAAAGTCAACTCAGGAGCAGAACAAAAGATAAGAATGTCAGAAAGAAATTCTCCAGATGGGAAAAATTCAGTTACTGCTTGAATAACAGGAATCTTGATGGTCTAAAACATTGAGAACTACTGATTTTAAGTAAATGAGAAGAAGTTTTAAAGTAAAAAATTGATGTCATTCATAAGCGGTCCTGTCTCTATGTTCTGTCTTTGAAGGACTTGGTAGCCAACAGTTTCCTGATTTGTGGGCATTGGATACTGCTTGATAATGTTTTATGTATCTCCTATGAAGAAAGGAGGATATTACATTCAAAAGAGGTTTTTCTAAGGATGTTGGCAAAGGAGGTTTGGAGACTGAGAATTTATTCACTTGTTCATTCATTTAGCGGTCATTTGGCGTGATGGTTGTGTCCCTGAGGCTATGACAGGTGCCGTGGAGAGAACGCTGGGGCCAGCTCTGTTACCCCCCTGGACTGCGTTTCTGGTGGGGGGTGTGGGTTATGCACAGGGTCAGTGGGAGCTGGGCCAGAGAGGGGCTGGGTGAGAAGCACAAGGAAAGCCACAGCAGCGCTAAAGGGAACACAGTGGCCCAGAGAAGGAGGGAGAGGAGTACAGAGACCAGAACCTGGAAGGTAGAGGGTCTGAGGTGACCGTTCAGCAGTGTGCTGGGGAGCCGCTGGTTCCACATGTCTCCTGTCTTGCCCCCCATTCACCCCTCCATCCCCACCAGTTGCTCATCTGAAAGCAAGGGTGGCGGTGGAGGAGAGCCGTAGAAGACAAGAGATAATGGGATCATTCTGTGTAGAGAATAAGTGAAGGAGCTACATCTCTTAGTTTTGCTTGTGGACTTGGTGACAGCTCTGTTGGCCCAATCCAGTGGCACGAATGTCCCATTTCTTGACTGGTTGGTAAGGCTTCATGTTTGTGATGTGATTTCTCTTCGTTGTAAGTCAGCTTTAACTCTTGGGAGCAGCTCTGGCCCACCTGTCCCTGTGAGGGCTGTTGGCTACACTGTAGCTGCTGCTTCTGTCTTTCCAGTGGCCATTTTGTAGCCGTGGTGCATTGCTACTAGATTTTGAGGAAGTAAAATAAAAAGAAATGCAATTCACATAGGTTAGTTTTTGAAAGTTCCATCCTGCGAGTCAGTCAGGTCAATACAGTGACTCATCAGAGCGGCCAGAGTGAGTCGCCCTGTGAGAAGTCACTCCTGCTGAGCCGGCCTGCAGGCCGGGGCGCCCTTGACTTTGCCCTCACTCATTTTGCTACAGCCGGATGGCCCTTTTATCTTCATCCAGCATCTTGGAGCGTCTCTTCCTGGTGTCCTCCTGGTTTGCCCTTCACCTCCCTCACGTCTCAGCCCACATCCACCTTCTCAGGTGTTCCCTGAGCATCAGCGGGAACCAGCACCCTCCCGTGTGCGCCACTCCACCGCCCCTCGTCTGCCTTGCTCCCTCATACTCAACACCATTGGTCTCTGACAGGCTGTTTTCCTCATTCATTTGCCTGCCTTCCCCACCCCGCCGACAGAATGTAAGCATCATGAGGGCAGAGACTTTTTTGTTGCTTTTGTTCACTCCCATCCTAAGATCAGTGCCTGGCACACAGGTGGCTTTCAGGAAGCACCCATTGGCTGAATCCATTAACTTGCATGTTCCCTGAGCCCCTTTCTGGCTCTGGCGTTGGAGCCCTCGTCCCTGTTTTATCCCCCATGGAGAGGAAGCCACTTTGTTGCTGGTCCCAGTGTACCTTCCCTCTTACTCATCACCTTCATCCCTCTGCAGACCTCTGCAGTTTTCCCTCCCCTTTGCCTTCTGCTTCCCTTCACTCTGTTCTCCCCGCCCTATTAAGGTTGCCTTCATTATAAGGCTTTCCGCAGATGAAGTGTGTTCTTGGACTATGGTTTTCACTTTTTAGCTGCATATCTCTATAAAGCGGATTCTCAAGTGGACACCCAATTGATAAAAGAGATAAAAGCTTGCAGGTGTTCTGTTCAAAGAGGAAGGGAGCTAGAAGCCGCTCATATCCATCGGGGTCCTCTGAGTACCTCTGCAGGACCCTCAGCTTGTGGACGGTTTAAAACCAGTATTCTAAGCTAATATCTGGGTCTCAAGTCGACCTCACATGGCCTTTTCAAGACTGCATGACTTTTAAAAAAAAGACTGCATGACTTGTAGCCCCTGCCTCTTAACATGGCCTGGCTACCAGGGGGAATGTGTGTACTGTGGAACCCCCTCCTTTGGAGGCTGGTAATGACCCATGCACAGCTTTTACGTGGGGCAGGCATAACCTAGGGTAACCTGGGCCTAGAGGTAAAGCAGCTCTCCCTACACGGGCTGTCCTCACTCACTGCTTTTGTGGTAACTCACTCATGTTTCCTCCTACCCTATATCATATACTATAAATTTTAATATCACTTAGGCAAACTGGAAACAGTAGAAATGTACAGTAATAGAAGACTGTTTAAATAATTTTGATACTGACATAGAATAGGAAAAAACGATTTAAAACAATGTTCATTTATTCCACTAATATTGAGTACTTTGGTACCTAGCCGGCCCTCAGAACAGATACCCTTGTGGAACTCACAGTTGATGTCAGAGGCAGAAGGAGCTTTATTTAAAAAAAAAAAATAGATATCGTTTTTGTCAGGGGAAAGAAAGGTCATTTCCCCCTAGGAAATGTCTGGCCCATTTCTTAGCATTAGAAGGAAAGGAAGAAAACTCGCCACCAGCCGTACTCACCGTGTCATGGCGCTTCTCTCGTTTGTGCTGTGCTTCCCTTTTTCCTCTATTTCATTGTTGTTGAAGTATGAATATAATAAAGCAAAGAAATCATAAGGAAAGGCAAAAAATCATCTAAATTCGTCTGCTTTGGACTCCAGAGGCACCCAGGGAGGGATAGGCTGTTCCCCGCCACCTCCTTATTGGAAGGGCCAGCCCTGGAGAGAGCCCCAGTGAAGGCCGCCCTCTCTGGAATCGATTCTCATGCAGAACTGTACTCCAGAAGGACTGATGGGCCCTCCTGGTTGTAGAGGTTGTGGCCTAGGGGTCGGGGCAACCCTGGGATGAGGCCAGAGGCTTCTCTGAGAAGGGATGGGAATGCATGGCCCTGGCCAGAGATGCGTGTAAAGATGCATCATTGGAGAACTACACATTAACTTGGCCAGATGCCAGGCTCTCCATTTCTGAGCCAGATTGTTAAATACCTCCCCCCCCCTTTTTTTTGAGCCAGTGAGAAAAGCCCTTTACAAAAAAGTTTGTCGGTCCCTGCTGTTGATGGTACCTATGGTTCTTCCCGTCTAATCCTGGAAAGAATAGGTACAGGTCCAGCTGGAACATTCTGAGAACCCCGTCAACTCTGCTGTCCAACTTCTTCAGTCTCTAAGCAGCAGTGTCTAGAAGGAGTAATCTTACAGAAAAAAACTAGCAGCACCTGAGAAAGTGTTCCGGGTGTTGTTGAAGGGAGTAAGTCAGTAACTACAGACCCGTGCTACTAAGTCCCAGCTGACTACAACGACCATTTCTGTTTTCAAATATTTTTCTAGCTTATGGATAGTTCATGGTACTTTTTTCCTTTATGCAGAGATTAAGAGTGGATAAATAGAGGTTATTTGGGTATTTTTTAACCAGTGCAATACTTAAACTTCTTTGGGAACCTTCTTTGACCATGGCAGTTTTGCTTTACTCCCCTTCCTGCGTGGGCTTCCCAAGAGATGTCCGTTCTGGTCTGCGTACCACTCAAGGACGTGACAAGGCCTCTTTCACACATCTCAAGATTTGGAGGATTGAAGCTTTTTACCAAAATATACCCATAAACTGGCCATCTGTGTATCTAAGACACTGAGTTCTGCCCTGAGTTGTCTGCTTTCTAGGCCTTCACTCAAGCCCTTGATGGAACAAGAGGAAGAGAGGGAGCTGATGGGCATAGAACAGAGTGGAGGGGAGGAGCGTCCTCCCCAGGGGCCTGTCTTCTGAGCCTGCTGGGTGTTTGGGAGTCTCCAGAAGTCATTACTGCCCAAGGGTCAGACTGTAGGTGGTTCCTAAAACTAGGAACTTTTACACTCAGCGGTCTGCTTTCTTTGGTCACTAACAGCTGCTCAGTGACGCAGGGTAAGAACGTTTTAAATTATGTCTTTATTTTTATCCATTGCTGCTAAAAGATTTAACAAATACTTTCAGAGATACATGCACAAGAACTATTGGCATGTCTTCTAAGCATGTCATTTACCCTTTGTGGACACCATTTTCAGTGTTGAGAGTAGAAAGTTAGACTCCAGTGTTTGGAAAGAGCCCAGATGTCCATCAACAGATCAATGGATAAAGAAGAAAATTACTCAGCCATAGAAAAGAATGAAATTTTGCCATTTGCAGTGACGTGGATGGAACTAGAGGGTATTATGCTAAGTGAAATAAGTGAGTCAGAGAAAGACAAATACCATATGATTTCACTCATAGGTGGAATTTAAGAAACAAAACAGATAGATGAACATAGGGAAAGGGAAGGAAAACAAAATAAAGACAGAGAGGGAGGCAAACCATAAGAGATGCTGAACTCTAGGAAACAAACTGAGGGTTGCTGGAGGGAAGGTTGGGGGGGATGGGGTAACTGGGGGATGGGCATCGAGGAGGGCACGTGATGTCATGAGCACTGGGTGTTGTATGTAACTGATGAATCACTGAATTCTACCTCTGAAACTTAATATTACACTATATGTGAACTAACTTGGATTTAAATAAAATCTCGAAAGAAAGAGCCCCAATATATAAAATTATATGTACATTTTATGTTCTTGTATTTGGTGATAGCTTGTGGCAATATTATGTTTATTTTCAATATAACAGGTTAAAGGTTATTGAAAATGAATTGATACAGGCTTCAACGAAAAAATTTTCCCTGGAAAAGTTTTATAAGGAGCCCAGCGTTTCTAGTATACAAATGGTGGATTGTTGTAAGAGACTTCTAGAACAGTCACTGCCTTACCTACAAGGGATGCACCTCTGCATTTCACATTTTTATTCTGTTCTTCAAGATGGAGACCTTTGTATTCCTTGGAATTGGAAGGATGGAGAAGCCATTAAGTAACACAGAAATCTGTGTTATTTTTGAAGAGCTAAGAAACTGTTAAACTAATTTAAATCCACAATTTGATATAACAGTATTATTTACATATTACAAGAACGAAGTTTCTAACTGCTGCTCTAAAAGTAGAACTTTTTTTAAAATTAATCTCTGCTACAAAACTTGTTTTAAAAGGTTTTATCTCCCAGTCTTACGGTGTTTCTTATCTGATTGGCAAGATTGGGTAAAAAGATGTCAGAATGAAAGAACATATTTTTAGTGGTGTGTAAATGAGGGATTCTACAGAGTCAAGGATATCTATTTTTATATGAGTGAATGTGGGTACGTGTAAACAGGTCTCAGCATAGTTCTGAAGTAATGGGACTCATTCAACATGCAACTTGGTAAACATCTCATGTGTCAGCACGAACATGTATTTTGCAGCCAGTAGGGGACAGTTGCTGTCCAAAACAGGAGACTGATGGGTAGCAAAAATTAGATAACCAGATTCTTCCTGAAAGAAAGAGTAGAAGGAAAAAAAAGCAATTGGATGTATGTGTAGTATTGACGTTGTCATAAGTAGTCTGATACCAGTTTGTTAAAACATCTTAGTGACAGAAAATTTAGGTTTAAATCCATAAGTTTTCCTACCCATTAAAATATTATAACTGTTGGTAGCATGACACTAACAGACAGTAAGTGTCTTTGAATCAGTGAGGTGACTCGTTTGTTTTTGTGGACAGACTATCTGGAAAAACCCTTGCTTTTTTCCCCAAGAGTTCCAGCAAGTAGGGAGTATAAAATGGTTCAGGCCATTCAGGATTTCTGTCACCCCCTCAACCCCGGTCTTCCTGTTCCTACCGTGTTTCGCACGTGGAGTGAGGCCCCTCTGAGCCGTCCCTTGTGCATAGTTGTGTGGGCTCCCTGAGGCCACAGCACAGCTTATCCCCAGAGACATGGGGGACCCGCTCTGGAGACACAGGGCTTCTCTCTCCACAGGTGTTTCCCTTCGGATAATATATTCCACCAGATCCAAAACCTCTTTGGCTTATTTCTCAAGAGGATAAGGTGAATCCTAATTTGGGACACCATTTTTGTAGCCCCTACTGCTGAAGAAATGGGAAAGGAATTTTTTTCCCACAGTGCATCAGAAAGAAAAGAAGCTGTTAACAAACCATTCTTGAAGTTCATTTCAAATTCATCTAAAACACTATTATTTAAACTGTTTAAATTCAAATATGTGTTAAGAAAGAATGATTTGTAATTTTTATAGTTTGTGCATACCACATCTTTTTGAACCTTCATAACAACTATACTGAATTTTTTTTTCTAATGTAAAAATGTTGCCTGTAAAGATTTTCCAGAGCCAAATGATGGAGGTGAAAAATTCCTTCCTTAAAGATTACATAAGAAAATTTATTGAAATATAGGTTTGGATTATGCCATTTCTAAAATCAACTAATAATAGAATCCTTAGTAATGTTTTGAATTGGACTTTGTCTCAGAACTGATTGTTAATAATATAATAAATAATACATTAATCAGATTGTTTTTCTTGTTATTCACTTATTAATAGTTTTACAACTATTGTGACATAATAGGAAGTTACAAGAAATTGATGGCCTATTTGACCTCCTCTCCCAATCTAACATAAAAGGGAAAACTCTGTCTCACCACTGAAAACTGGCACAGGTTGAGGCCCCACCAACTACAAAGCCATGGGTCAGAAGCGGTCTCCAAAGGGACCTGAGCTCCAGACCCAGGCCAGACGTCTCCCAAGGAAGAAGCAGGCCCTGAGCCCAGGCTGTCCAGTTAGGAAGGCATAGGTCCAAAGCCACATCTGTCTGCAGGACAGGTTCCCCCCAGGCCCTACTTCCTCTTTTGTTTCTTAAAGACCTCCAGGTCCAGGCAGCCCACCTGAGTTAATGAGAGGGGGGATGGTGGGCATTGAGAAATGGAGAGGTGAAGCAAGAGGGGTCAGGGCTGAGTCAGGAGTCAGCTCACCTTTAGAACCTCTAAGGACTGTGTGTACATCCCTAAGTGAACCCATCCAGCTTGGGCCCTGTCCCAGCACCCTGGTGTTCCTACTTCCCTTATACCAGTCCGGCTTCCCCACCCCACCCCCACTGCTCTGGGGGGACCCTCGAACAAGCCAGTAAGACCACATCAGTCCTGTGGAGACTGGTGGCTCCAAGGCTCTGGGCTCTTCTGCAGGGGGCCGTGGTCCTGGCAGCCTTCTCCTGCAGGCCCCAGAGCTGGGAGCCCAAACTCCCAGGAGGCTGGCACTCACACTCAGGGTGCAGGAGCCACTGATGCATTGGGTGAAGCCTGGCAGCTGGCTGATCACAAAGCACCTCCCTGTTTCGGGGGTGCCTCTGACCTGTGCCGCCTAACCACAGACCCCAACCGCAAGCCCTCTGACCTGGCAGGGCCACCCAGGTACCTGTCTCATGAGTAAGAATTGACGCAACCCCCAGGGCACCTTGGTAGAACTCCTACTGGGCTCCCTGCACTGAATGACCCTGGACAAGGCCTCACTTGGCCTCAGTCTCCCCATCTGTAAAAGGAGACACTGGGTCATGTTCTTGGAAGTTCTTCCCACCCGCAGTGAGTCTGCCCCAGGAATGCAGAGCCCTCCCTTGGATGGTCCTGGGCTGCCGGCCCAGGCACCCCTCACTCCTTAGCGGTTGGGACAAGGAGGAGGAGGGGGAGGTGGGACAGCCAGTGGCCACACAAATCAGACCAGAGTTGGCACCATGGGCCCCTCTTCTAATCCCCAGCCCCCTGCTACTGCAGCCTCAGTCTACTGGTCAAAGCCCTGCCCTCGTGGGGACATACCTATTATGGAGCACTATAGGAATTCTCCCCCTAAGGTGACAGATCTTGCACATGGGGAAACTGATACCCGAAAGTGAGAAGAGACGGAGACTTGGCCAAGGCCGTTCTGTCTCCTGTAGATAAGAGAGGTGGGATTAGAACCTAGGTGTCCCAAGGGCTGTGAGGGGTCTGAGCAGGCAGCAGCACCCCCAGCCCTGCACGGGCCCACCACGGGATTAGTGCTGGGGACAGGCAGCCCACAAGTCAAGACCAGATGCGCCCTTGGAGCAGTCCTTGCCCTAGCAGGCGTGGGGGGCATAGCAGAGACAGAGACCTGGCCACTGTGGCGTGGTTGGTCAGCGGGCAGCAGGGCCACCTTGGCACCTAGGGGACTTGTGTAGAACGGGGGGAGCAGCCCTGCTCCCCCTGAGGCCTGGTAGCAGCCTGGGCTCTCTGGGACCCCACAGGTGCCTATGGGCATCATTCCTGGAGCAACATTTGCACACTTCTGCCCCAAAGTCCATCACAGCAGCTAATGTGGAGGAAATCGGTTCAGCACAGTGTGTGGCTCACAAGGGAGGGGGCCATCAGATTTCACCCTCGGCATCTTTTGGAGGCTGTCCGTTTTTCATTTTCTCTGTCAATACCATGCGCACTGGCCTAGACCATGGCACGCATGAGCCAGAGACTTCCAAGTCAGCAGGATGGGCAGTGTGATCGGGTGGAGGAACAATATGATCTATACAGACGACAGCCTGTACCTCACTTCCCGCCCCCCCCCCACCAAAATGCAGGATTTTTAAACTTTGGAGTAAAATCTTTGCTGAGGGATTTCCTAAGACCTTTTACCATTAGTCATTGAGCAAACAGGAGGCACCGGCAGTACACAGGCCTTGTCCTAGGCACTGGGAACACAGCAGGGACGGAGCAGACAAGAGCCTGCGTTTGGTGTATGTTTCTTGGGGCTGACACAAATTACAAACCAGGGGGCTTCACACAAATGCATTACCTCACAATCTTGAAACCAGAAATCCAAAATCAAGGTGTCGTGGGACCATGCTCCCTCCAGAAGCCCAAGGGGACATTCTTTTCTTTGCCTCTTCCAGACTCCGCTGGCTGCCAGTGTTCCTGGCTTGGGGCCACATCACTCCAATCTCTGCCCCTGTGGTCACATCGCTGCCTCTTATTCTCTGTGTCCTCTGTGTGTCTGTCTCAAAACTCACCCTGTTTGAAGAATGCGTGTGAATGCGCGTAGGGCCTACTGGATAATTTAGGATGAGCCCCTCCTCTCAAGACCCATAACTTAATCACATTCATTGCTCTAGAAGGTCATCTTCACAGGTCCTGGTGCTTAGGACGTGAACATATATCCTTTAGGGACACGATTCAATCCACTGTACTGGTGACTTGGGGTCACCACTGCAAACCCCATTTGTTGTAGGCTGCCCTTGAATGATGCTGTAGAGGGAAGAACCCACCATCTGTGGGCAACATGCCAAGTCCACCTGAGACCCTGGTAAGGTACACACTCTCTCTTCCTCCCTGAGCATTATTTCATATCCACTAACCTTCCCAAAGTTAGAGCTTCCTGGGATTCCAGCCTCTACTTAGCCTGCCCTATTCACCGGTTGTTTGAATTGGTTCCAGCCTCTCACTTTTCTAGTTCGCTGGCCGGGAGCTTTTCTGTGCACATGCTTCTCTTTTCTCCCTGGGCTGCTGGGTTGCAGGTTAGAGCTGTGGTTCAGGCCCTCTGTGCCGGTTTCCCACTTGCTGCTCAGCATCAACCCACCCTTCCTACGTGCTCTGCAGTACCGCACAGAATCCTTGAAGTTTCTCACCTTCAGCATGAGCACCACAGTAAACTTATTCAGGAGAGTGCACTAGAAGGGCACTGCAGGAGGCTGGACAGTTGGTCAGAAGTATGAGTGTGATGGCTTCGGTGGAGACCTGCTCCAGCCATAGGCCCAGAACCCATGGCCCCTGCTGGGCCTGGTGGCCCTCTCCACACTGTGAGCGCCTGGCTTCCTGCCCCCTGCTGTACCCAGGGCCTCTGGGAACCACTCATCCCTGGTTCCTGGTAACATAGTTACAGACAGTGAAGTTGAGCAGGCCTGGCAGACAGGCTTGCTCACCCCTATATTGTATGGGGGCGGGGGGAAGCTGAGGCCAAGAGAGGCAGGGTTCTGACTGGACACATTGGCTACAGAATCAAGGCTGGGCCACAGGCCTTTGCTCCCCAGGCCGGAGGAGGGTTTCCTGGGGTCCTCAGGCTGAGACAATGTTTCCAAACCCCTACTTACTGCCTCCTACCCCTGCATGACTGGACCAGTCACTCCATTCCTGGAGGGTCGAGCGGCTGCCCATTGTCTCACCAAAGCATCATCCGGAGCCTGTCCACCAGTGAAGGCAGAGCTAGAAGGGGTGCTCTGCCCAAAGGCTCTCTCAGCCTCAGGTTGCCTCAAAGAGAGCTCCGGCAGGGCTCTAGCCCCTTTGTGCTCAGGACCCAGGACAGCCCTGAGTGCCGCCCCCTGGGCTATATGCAGACACACAGGGCCTGCAGGTCCCACTCATCCTGGCTTGTTCCTACCTCAACCAAAGAGGTATCCTTCTGGCTCTGGCTGGGAATCAAACATACTGCTCTGCTACCAACATCAGAAACAAATTCTTGAACTCCAAAAACTTAGGAGCAAAATAGACTTGGGAGGTAAAAGAAGATCTAGAAAACATTATGTGTCAAAATCTAGGTTAAATTTATATGGGGTTTGAAAGCACTTGGTGTGTTCTTCTAAGACCTCTGCACAGAGTTCTCTACGCTTCCAGGGGAGGCAAAAGTATCATGGACATGAGCATGGAGGCGTTCAGCTGGTGGGCTGCTCAGGAAGCTGTGACCATGCAAATACTTTCAAGTTCAAAAGGAAAATCGGTTATTCCCAGTAAGGACATTTTTCAGCTTGCAGGTGAAGGCCCAGGGGGTAGAAGGACTGGGAGGAAAGGAAGAAACTGGGGGCAGAGGGACTTGTCCAAGGGGGCCACATGTTGACAGAGCACTTCCTCGTGGTGAGACAGTCACAGGAACTGCTGAGAGCAGCCAGGTGCTCATTGCTCCAGCCTTAGCCAGGCCATGGGTTGGTGTAGATGGGAGGCAGTACCTTGAGCCAGTGTCTTTCAGTGAAGCCTTAGGAGGAGGTGGAAGGGCAGCCTTCTGTACAGGTATGCTGGATGGGCCCTGGGCACTGAGAGGAGCCCCCTGCATGCTCCCATACTGAGATCCGGGCCTCTCTTGGGGATTCTCCAGAGAAGCTGGAGAAGCTTCAGGTACATCTGCCTTCATTGAAGGGTAGGTGATTTCTCCAGTTATCTCGTTTACCCAGAAAAATGTATCTAGAGATTTCTTCCCCTGTCCAAACAGACTCTTAGACATAGCTACAAAGGAAAATTGAGAAAAATAGATGCATCTTCAGTTGTCCACAGTGGGGGCAGAGGGCTCCCTCAACACAACCAGGGTCAAAGGGAGCCCCCGACCTCTGGGCTAGGACTAGATAGCCTGTGTCAGCATTCTGTTAGGGAGACAGACGCCTTCCCAGATGCTTCAGAAATCCTCCCAGGACCAGGAGCAGGCCTTGCTGGGAGGCTCTAGATGAATTCTAGCATCTTTTTAAAAAATGTCTTTTCAAATTTTTAAGTCTTAACCAAATATACTGAGAAGTATACTTGAAATCCTGACCTAAT